CCTGTTTAAAAAGTTTGAGGACCCCTGGGTTACACCCTTCACCAGGAGCTCTGTTTTGATCCCCCTTCGAAAGCAAAAGTCATGTCTCAGTACTTCAAGATAAACAAGAGTTTTATTAATAAGAAATTATGTATTTTATTTCATAACACCTATTATTTTGAAATAATTATTTCTCGAGCTGCTAGCATTAGCATGTACAACCCCACTGTTTGTGCCTTTGCTCCTTAAGAGATCGTCAATGAAGTAGATGGGTTTTGTTATTGTTTGTAAAGATGGGAGAATCGATCAGGCCTCTTAATGGCTACCGTCAGTTTGTGTCAAGTTGATTCCAGTCCCGAGGACCCTGTGGTTTGCAGTGCAGACCTGCCCCATTGGGGAGCAGATGGAGAGGCCTATCCCTCAGGGAACCTCTGAGTGGGTTCAAACAGCTAGTCGTTTAACCTCGGCTTACCCATTTGTGCCACCCAGTAACTCCTGGGGAAATGGCTACAAACCTAACATTTTAAAAGGTATATTTGTAATTCGGTGCCATAAAATTACTTTAGGATGGTGGCGGGTGTAGAATCCCTTCAAGTTCATGAATCCACTTTCATACATTCTAACTTAGAACCTCATGAGCGAGGTTTGCAGATGGGCGTGAATGTTGATTGGGTGTCATAGTCGTGGGTTTCTAAATTGCCCAGTTTACTGGATCCTTCATGAAAACACGGGGAGGGGGGGGGTGGCAATGAAGGGACCAGGTACATGAGAGAGCCAATCCCAGTGCAACTCGTCATTGCAACTGTCCCTTCTGGTTAAGCGATTGGTGACACTGGGACAAAGTGGCACAGGATGGATAGAGTGTAGAGAGAGATTGTCCCTAAGAGTGGAGGTCAAAGCTGCTCTGCAGAAACGCCTCACGGGGCGGCAGACCTGAGTGCTCGTTGCAGTCAGGCCTCTAGAAAAGGGCCTGTGGGGATTCAGGTTGAAGGGGTCACCCTGTCAAGTACACACGTACCTGGATCTCCGTGCTGCTTGTCCTAGCCGTTTTCTGATTCTGAGGCAATGTTCCATTCAAAAAAATGTTTGATAAATAAATCCTTCTGTCTCTTACTGTGCCCTTTCTTTGTAAACCCAATAACCCTCTCCTTGTGTCCTCTTTCCTCCCTCTGTCTGTCTCTGCCTTTGACGTCCTCCCCAGTATGAGCTGGTGTCCCTCTGGTGTGCAGTTCCCTGCTGCCCTGAGTGCCGACTTTTCTTACAGAAGGTACGCTATCCTCACATGTCCAGGCCCCAAAAGGGACGCTCTAAAACCTGGCACCTGGGCTTCGGGGCTTGGAAGCTGTCTTCTCTGCGGCGGGAATGCATCCGGGCAGCCTGCTTTGTCTGTGAGCACGGTGTCCTGTGGCCCTGCTATGGGCATCACTAACCCAGCTGAAGGGGTGCCCCGAGCCGTTGCATGGTGTACTCCGACGCAGTCTCTTTGTCTTCAGTGACTGTGGATCAGCTTTCTGCACAGATTTGTCTCGGCGGGGTGGTAGACCACTTCTCTATCTGTCTGAGACTGTCCTAACCCCCAGGTCCTAGGGCTCTGGAAGGAAACAATATGAAAAGCAAGATGATGAATACGACGTACTCATTTGTTTTGCTTCCAAAATCCACCCATCTCTTTCGATTCCAAATTCAGAGACCCGTTGTTTCAGTCTTTTTGCAACAAAGCAGGCAGATTTAATTAAATTGTGTGGTAAGCACGGATCTGGTTTTCTCCAGCTTTTCAAATTATTCACGATAAATAAATGTCCTCTTCACTCAGCCCCTTGTCTGCTTCCCCATCCCCTTGTCTGCTTCCCCATATTGAGAGTGCATTTTGCAGAGATATGTACTTGCAGTTAATCATGATTCCTGGTGTCCTATCGATCATAAAGAAAAGCAAAACCTGTTGTTTCATTTACCAGTGAAAGGCAATAGAGGCACATGGCCTATGTTCATAACAAGCAATTTATGAAACCAAAAATGCAAATAGACTCTTCTGGACTGGCATAAAAGAACTTATTTGTAGCAGTTGACTGCACAGTTTTTCCAGAGCAGATACTGAAGAGTTTGAGTACACTTTAAAATCCAGCTGCCACTGATTATAACTGAAAGTGTCCTATCAGCTACCATGGTGTTTAGAAATAGTACTGATTTTAAAGGGATTTCTATTGCAGGTGTTACAGATAGGAATGAAAAACCAGAAGGAGGACACTCGATCACTATCTTTTTCTGTAAAGGCTTAGAACCAGTTTTGAAGAAGTTAGAGCTTCCTAGTTGGAGAAAATGCTTTTGCCTCTTCAAACCATAAAATGTATATACCAATGATCCCACTTAAAATAGTAAGCTCTAAAATTTGCTTTCTTTTTTCCTTTGCCAACAGTTAGAAAAATGCAAAACTCTTA